AAGTTTGAGAGTCGGGGGAGGGTGGGGGAGGTGTGATGTGGGAGTTTCTTTTGTGGAGATGGGGGGAGAGGTGAGGGAGTGAGTGAGGGAGGGAGGGAGTGGCATGATTTGTATGAGGAATGCATACGATGATGACCATGAGGTTATGTCTAGGAAACGGGTTTCGTATGTTTATCCTAGCCTGTTCTGTTCCCCCTCCGTGTGTAGATCACGGTACAGTATACTTGATGCTTCCTCGATCAGCTGGAAAAGTTATTCTGTGTACTATTGGTATCTTACGGATGGATGGTGGGGTTGTATAATATTCCTTCTTAGTATCGCAGCATTAATCTCTTTCTGATTGCGGACACTTATCTTACGCATGGTATAGTCTGATCGCTGTACTTAAGTTCTTACTTTTAGAACAAGCTTTTTTAAAACATCTTTTATATTTAGTAGGAACCAGGCTCTAGAGTAGCTTAGCTAGGGGTATATAGTGCTTAGTAAGTATGGTATATATACTGAATAGCTGGTAAGCGAACTTAAAGAACCTCTAGAGCCTATAACTATCCTAGAACCTTACTAAGTAAGAGACTATAACGGACTATATATGTAAAAAAAATAACCAACTAAACAAGTAGTACTAAATATAAAGAACTATATAATTTATATTAGGGATAGTAGGTAGGGAAAAAGAGATTCTAAAAGTACAAAAGGTATAAGGAGTTAAGTAGGAGGTAGAGCTTCCTTATATACTCCTTGTATATACTTAGACCCCTATCTATCTCTGTGACAGTTATGGTCACGAGGGCTGGATGTCACATGCTCGCTTAGCGAGGCGCTAGCGCGCACGACCTGTATTTAGTTCCCAGCTCTCTCGAGCTCTCCTTCTTTCCTCGTCTTTTGTCCTAAGAATAGAGTGTTAATTGTTCTGAGTTCTACCTGAAGCACGTCTGTCACAATCTCTATCTAATCGCTATATTTAAGCTCTTACTTTTAGAATAAGCTTTTTTAAAATACTTTTTATATTTAGTAGGAACTAGGCTCTAGAGTAGCTTAGCTAGGGGTATATAGTACTTAGTAAGTATAGTATATATACTAAATAGCTAGTAAGCGAACTTAAAGAACCTCTAAACTAAGTAGATACTAGGGTTCTTTTATATACTAAAAGAGATAATAAATAATAAACTAAACTAATAAATAAATAAAGAAACAATAAAAGAAGTATTAAGAACTTTTAAGCCTAGTATTCCTTACTATTATAGTCTTTTATCTTTATATCCTCTAACTTTACTAGAGAGCTAATTAGTCTAGGGAGATGTCACGAATCACGTGCTCACGTGATACTTGTCATAATAAGAGGCGCAACCCTCGACAGGCATACCCAGGTTTCTTATAGCAAATAGGGATCGCTTAGGGTAGCTAAGCGATCCAGGGATTTTCATTGGTTATGGTCACATGATTAAGTTGGATCGCTGGATCGCTCGGCGACCTAGCGAAACGGACCGCCAGCTCGACAGGCGAGTTGGCTACCCAGATCATAGTACTTGAGGATGAAGGTTCTATATAAGACTGGCACGTCTGCCATTAGATAGGAGCTTCGTGCTCAACTTAG